CTGTATGTTATGGTATCAGATGCAGAAGCAATCTGATGTCGGAAATTAAGAAGGACTCAAAATAGTTTATGTAGGTAGGGAAAATGAGTTATTTTGATATTTTTAAGGCCTTCGATATTTTAAACATATATACACTAATAAATTCATCTATCATCCATTCATCTCTAATTTGTACATAAATGTATTTAAAATCAGTCAAATCAAATTGTTTTAATAAGGGCTGGGGATTTAGTTCAGTGGTTCAGTGGCCTGCCTTGCAAACGCAAGGACCTGAGTTCAATCCCTGGTACCAAAAAAAAAATTGTTTTAATAAACCAAAGTATTGCCAAAAGGTAGAGCAAGATTAAATGGTCAAATTACAGTGAATTAGATAGAATTTACCAACAATTTTTTCTACTAATTTGTAGCCTATTATTGTTATTATTAATTCTGACACATCTTTTAAAAACTTCAGCCTAAAAATTTGCCTGCAATGAGAATTTAGAACACGTAACACCTTCCATGATATAGCATATTTACATTCCACAGATATAATGTGGTAAAGTTGTTGGTTTATGGCTGGTTTAGGAATTCACTTTTGGGATTTTGCAGCTTTATCATCCATTGAACATTTTAAAGTGGAAAGTTTAATGATTTATCTTCTGTACAAATTGCTTTTCTGATGATATTATTATTGGAATAAAAGTCCTTCTTTGCAAAGGAAATCTGAGAACATTGTTTAAGGCTCTGAATAAGGAATAACACTGCAAGGACCAGAAGTTTCCCAAAGTGCACTAGACCTCAGCATAAGGAGAGAGTTCCCTCCCCATTCTTAGAAGGGTTTCAGCAGGTGCCGGGTGGCTGTCCCATAGGCTCCTAGAGGAGACAGGATCATTGGATGTGAGGTTAGAGGTAGCCTTGGAGGCACTGGCTAGATCTAAGACTTGTGACATTTGTGATCTGAGAGCTCATATAGGACTCAGTAGCTAAAATATCCTACCGTGCCTGAGAGCAGTGCACTCTCACACTAGGATTCTCCCATAGGGAGCCACCACCATCCTGCCACATGGGTGCTGACATTAGGTTGTTTTCTGGTTTCTTGGTCCAAAATGAAACTGAGTTTTATTTTGACTAAAGAGATTTTAATACATCTGGGGGAACCGGAAAGCTATAATGACACACCTCAGGTCTCTCAACAGCACATTGCTCCATAGCCAGCCTACGCAAGAGAGGAACGCATTAGCACATGCAATAAAATTTCTATCTCAGTCATTTACTATTTAGTGAAAGGCTAGAGAAAGTAAAATCAAACCCAGATGCAGTTCAATGCCCAGGTCAACAGTGCGATGTGAGCAAATGATGAGCATTTCTGTTCATTTTCCTTGGCGGTTATCCCAGGCTGTGCCACATCTGTACTATTAAGCCTCTCAGAAAACATGGCAGAAAACATGTGCTGTCTTCACCACGTTGTGGTGCCCCTTCTGGAGGAAAGTGGCAGCTGCTGTGGACTGACAGGGCTCTACTTACAGCAAATTCCACAATTCAAGGGGAAAAAGAAAAATCCATCACCCTTCATGAACATCAGAGCTACAATTCCCAGTGACAGGAAGCAGAAAGAAGGAAGCAACACGAGTGTGGGTGAAGGCATATGCTACAGATGAGTCAGTGGCGTTTGGATCTTACCTCTGAAATGAGCTAAATCAGTCATATTGCAAGCACCAAAGCTGTGTGTTGAAAAATTAACCATAAAAAGACAAGTGGCAAATTAGCTCTACAATAATAAAATGCCCTGAACTGATAAATTCAAGGTCAAGGACACACATTCTGATTTGTAGGCTTTGGCGCCTACCACTTGGAAAGAAATGAAGCCCCACTATCAGAGGCATTTAGTTAGCACAGCTGTGTTCTTTATACACAGTCAGCAGAGCTGTCACCCAAAGGACCTTGGCCATAATATTAGAGATATGGGGTGCAAAAGCCTAAATTAACATTTGGTCTAGCATATCTGTACCCTTGAATAAATCATTTCATCCTTTTTTCTTGAGGTACTGGGGATCAAACTCAAGTGTCCCATCTGCTAGGCACTCTACCATTGAATCCATTGAACTACATCCCTAGTCCTTGTTTCACTTTCTAATCCTTATCCACAAAATTGCCATAATAAAATCTACTTAACATGATTACTGTGGTGATTAAATTTTATAATTAATCTTATTATTTGAAAAATTTAATGAGCACTTAAACATGCCAGGCACAAAAGATCTGAGTAGATATTTCTCCAAAGACCTACAAATGGCCAATAAGCACAAGAAAAGATGTTCAACATCATTAGCTATCAGTGAAATGCAAATCAAAACTACAATCAGGAGCTCAGGAGCTGAGGGTGTAGCTTACTGGTAAAATATGTGCTTAGCATGCACAAGGCCCTGGATTTGATCCCTAGAACTGCAAAAAGAAATGGGGGGGGACCTGATTCTATGCATGTATCAGAAAGGCTATAATCAAAAAGATAATAAAAGGTGTTATTGAGGACATGAAGAAATTAGAACCTTTGTATGCTGCTGGTAGGAGCATAAAATGCTATATAGTCTGACAGTTCTTCAATGGGTTAAACCCAGAGTTTCTATAGAACATAGAAATTCCACTCCCACTTATATTACATGCTTAAGGGAAATGAAAACATACATTCATATGAAAATTTACATGCACATATTCATAACAACATTACTCATAATAGCCAAAAAGTACAAGCAACTTCAATGTCCATCATTTGCTAAATAGGTAAACTGTGGTATGACTTTATTTATAAATAGGGGCAAAGTAATGATATATGTTAAAACATGGATGAACATTGAAAACATCATGCTCAGTGGGTGAAGCTGGTCACTGAAGACCACACATTTGACGATCCCACTTATATAAAATGTGTGGAAGAGGCGCTTTCATAGAGACAGAAGGTAGATTAGGGCTTGCGTGGGCCTGGAAGGAGGATGGAGGGGGCAGGTTTGGGCCGGGAACAGCTAGGAAGTGCAGAGTTTCTTTTGGGGGTAATGAAAACAGTCTGAAATTTATTATAGGGATGCTTTCACAACTGTGAATATACTAAAAGCCAGTGAATCATACATTTTAAGTGAGTGAATTGTATGGTATGTGGATTATATTTTAATAAAGCTATTTTTAAAAAAGTGTACCAGGCAATTTGCTAGGTACTCAATACATAACGAATGCGAAATGCACATGGTATGTGCTTAATAAATACAATGCAAACACATAATGCCTCATTTAATTTGAATAAAGGGAAAAATAACTTTTAAAAGGAATACAAGTGCATGTGAAATATAGAAGCCTAAATTAATATACTAATTAGGAATAAAATAACCATAACTATAGCATATCAGCATGTAGTATTGTAGTGGGATATCATTAAACTGTACTTGAATGTATAGTAAGGCAAAGCCTTTAATGGCAATAATCTTTGGCAATTTGCTATTGAGTCAAAGCATTATTTAACAGGAAAGTGAAGCCCATTACAAACTATACCTGAGAATCAAAGACAAAGAGATGAAATGATGGTTTATTACAAGAGATCCAAAGAGGAAACTGCCTCTTTGTCGGCTTGTCTCACATTCTGAAAGCTCATAATTCCTGCATTTTCCCTTCTCCAACACAGTCATACTCACTGCAAGAAAATAGGAGTCTTGCTTTTCCTTATTCAGGAAATATGAAAAAATAAAAGGCATTGCATACTTCCCTGGTTTTAGCCTTTCCCACCCTTCTGTTACCCTCAAGAGGCTAGCATCTGACAATGTAAAGAGCTAGCACGAGCCTCAGAATTATTGATGGGCATGGGTTCCACAGAAGAAGTCACCATGCATATCCTGGTCAAACAATATGTGGACAGGCTGGGGACAGATGCTGACTCCTACCCCTGCTTTCAGTGGTCCAAGATCTTAGCATTACTATCTAGGCTTGACACTGCAAATAGAGTAGGGGGAGCACTTTCACACAAGAAAGATGGGGTGCTGGAATGTCTCACATGGCAGGAGACGGACATCTGTGTGTGGCTCTGGGGTAAGGAACTGGTATTGTCCTGACTCCAGTAATGACTCTAGAAGGACAGGATGTGTGGGTGCATCAGTTTACTTAGAAAGTAAAGCAGAGCTTTGGGAGTATTGAGCACTTGCTTAGCATGCATAAGAGTGTAGGTTCAATCCCCAGCAACTCCTCCCCCACGGAAAAGAAAGATAAGAGAAAGAAAAGAGGCCACTGTGTGGAGACACAACAGCAACAAATAGAGCTGAAGTTAGAGATAAGAAGAAAAATGAGAGAGGGAGGAAACGAGACAGGGGAAAAGTATAATGGTGTATGTGTGTGTGTGTGTGTGTGTGTGTGTGTGTGTGTGTGTGTGTGTGTGTTTTAGTTACTTTTCTTGTTGCTGGGACAAAAAACCTTACATCCACAATTTAGAAGAGGAGAAATTTGTTTTGGCTCACACATTCAAAAGTTCTAGTTCCCAGGGGGCTGGCTCTGCGGTTGAAACAGCGTGGTGGAGGACATGTCAGGTGAAAGCTGCTCAGCCCATAGTAGCCAGGAGACAGTGTGGGAGGAGGTGGGCAGGGAAACACAGCCTTGCAGGTCTCCTTCTAGGTTACCACCTCCAACCAGGCCCCACCTTCTACTGGCACACTCAGCCATAGCCCCTGCCCCCCGTTATCTAGTAACTTTCCAAACACATGAGACCTTGGGGAGACATTTCAGATCCAAACCACAACACTGTGCATTTAAAAATCCGCCAGAAAGGGAAATGTTAACTTGAAACGCCGAACAGAAAAAAAAGACCCCTTTCTGGTAAGACATCTTTCCTAAAGTGAAATGGTGGCAGGAGAAGCTAAAATATATTGCATACTAATATATGTTAAGAAGAAAAAAAATAAGGTGGTTAGCAAAGGAGAGAGATGGCACTTCAAAGCACTACAGAGATAAGGAGTGGACATAGAATTATTCATAATGATATGGCAGGGATGCGACCTGTGTGCTCAGAAGAAGGCCATGACAAGGACCGGGACAGGAGGAGGCCAGAAGTGAACAATGTGATAAAAACTGAGGCCAAAACTGACTGCATGAGGAACGTGGCTAAAGGAGAATGTCCACGAAGACAGAGTAAAATCAGACTCAATGACAGAGTCAGAGAGAAAGAAACAACCATGATGTATCCCCAAACAGAAGCAGATTTAAATGAAATTCCAAAGCATTTACTGAAAGGCTTACATGATTCTGAAGAAATGTAGAGCATAAATATTTAATTGGGAAGAGCAAGAGCTTGAAAATAGACTGCAAGTTCTAAGCCTGAAAAACAAAACAAAAAAAGTTAGTTCACAATTTATAATTAAATTATGCTCCTTCTTTTCATTCATTACTTGTTTCCTATGTAACTGAAAAATGCTTTCCCACAGCAAGAATGTGACGATTGATGGCTGAATTCCAAAAGAGACTCACATACACACACATCTACTTGAATTATTAAAACTACCTTCAGGCCTGGGGGGTATACAGTTCAGTGGCAGAGTGCTTGCCTAGCATGTGCAAACAAGGCCCTAGATTTAATCCTAGCATTGCAAAAACAAAAACCTCACTATTCACAATAACTCTACTGGTTTATTAGTACCAGGCTGAGCTCTGAATCCAGACAGTGAGGAGTATATTAGTCAGTTTTCCATTACTATAACAAATACCTGATATAAACCAACTTATAAGAGAAAAGGGCTACTATGGCACACAGTTTCAGAAGTCCATATGGCTGAGTGGACACATTAGGGCTTTAGTTAGCTCACTGTGATGGGAACACATGGCAGTACAAAGCCATTCACCTTATGGCAAAAATGCAAAAGAGAAAGGAAGATGAGAGGCTTGAGTCCTGCAATCCCCTCAAGAGTATGCTCCAGTGATGTGAAAAATTCCCCTAGGCTCTCCATTTAAAAAGTTTCCATCACCTCCCAATACCACCAGGCCAGGGACCAACCATCTAACCATGAGCCACTGAGGGATAGTGGCTCTTTGCTACAGATCTGTACTGTAGCAAAGACTCACTATAGCAAGATAGGAGCAGAAGAACAATGGGGAAGGAAGGAATGATAAATAAGAAGGAAGAGGACAAGGGAAAGGGAAAAACTGAACAAAGTTTCCTCATTCTGTTTGAACACCGAGGCTCCAGTCTTTCTTCTTTGTTAGATATTGGAAAATTATCTAAATTTATGGCTGATATGAGAGCATTTATAATTCATGTCCCTTACCTGTCCTAGGGAGAGTTACTTGGAGCTTATTCATTTATTTTGTTGACAGAATTTTGCTCTGTTGCCCAAGCAAGCCCGGAGTGCTTGGTCTCAAACGATCTTCCTGCCTCAGCCTCCCAAAAAGCAAGGGCCATAGGCATGGGCAACCATACCTGTTGTTTTCGTGGAGCTTGAAAAAGTGTGAGGGACAGTGGTTCCGCCACCTGCCTTGCAAGCACAAGGACCCGAGTTTGATCCAGAGTACCAAAAAAAAAAAAAAAAAAAAAAAAAAAAGGGGGGGGTCAAAAAAAAAAAAAAAAAAAAAAAAAAAAAAAAAAAAAAGTGTGAGGGAAGATGTCTGCTAGTGAGAAAGTTCTAGTAGAATTCTCCTAACCATTCCTGCTCTTCATAGCCTCATCCTTTTCTTTTCTTCTATAAAAGATCCAGGGTTTGATTTGGAGCTTTGATGAGTTAAATGTACAGGGATGGAGCTGTTTGTAAAGGGGATGATTACGAGATAGAAAGTATCTACATAGCAAAAATAATGTATTATGTGTGCCTAGAGAAGTGATGTTGTAAGGTAGGGATGAAGCTCAGAGGTGGTTGAACTCTTTCATAATAGAGAAGTACTCCATACTGGTAAGCATTTCAAAGCACTGAACCAATGTGTCCAACTTGTGGGATTACTCAGATCCATAAGGAATGTAACAATTTAAGGAAGTAGACGAATGACAGATAATTTAGAAAAGCATGGAAAATCAACTTGGAAATTGAGGCGTGGAAAGAGAAACTGGCGGGCAATCGGAAAGACACAAGCGTGGTAGCATGTGCCTGTAACCTCTGCTACTCTGGAGGCGGAAGCAGAAGGACCAAAAGCTCAAACTCAGCCTGGGCAACTTGGCAAGACACTGTCTCAAAATTAATCATTGAAAGTGCTGGAGCTGTAGCTCAGCGCAAAGCCTTGGGTCCAATCTCTAGTACCAAAAGGAAACAAAACAAAAAAGATATTAAAAAGAAAAAATGGTCCGAATTACCGAATATGAAATTCACACAAGCAAGAAAATAAGATTAGTTCAACTATGAAGAAAGATAAGAGTTACTCTTAGAACAAAGAAAAATGAAAAGAATATACAGAACTCCCACTAGTCAGTATTTTGAAGGACAGTTGTTAATATCTAAAGTAAAAACAGAGGAGGACTAGAGGAGGGAACCTTCCAAGGGGCATAAAAATGTTTTAAGGGTCACATTGAGTCCCCCTGAGTTGCTAAATTACCAAGGCTGGGCCTGAATTTATAATCCTCCTGCCTCAGCTACCCATAGTGCTGGTATTACAGTTATATCCCACAGTGCCCAGCTAGGAGAGATTCTTAAAAAGTAATTTCCCATTAAAGAGTCTTCATACTGCTAAGATTTTGGGGGAAATTTTTTTGAAAGCACAATGTATTATATTATTCTGCTTGAAGGCTGGCTTTTTATTTTTCAGTGTCCCTCCTCCATCAGGGTTGCATGCCTCAAAATTGCACCATTAAAGTAACTACATACTTGGGAGGCTGAGGCAGGAGAATGGTAAAACCAAACTGGGCAATTTAAGTAGATCATGTCTTAAAAATGAAAGAGAAGGAGAAGGAGAGAGAGGCACTGGGGATGTAGCTCAACGGTAGAATACACAAGGTCCTGGGTTCAATCCATAGTAACACACACACACACACACACACACACACACACACACACAGGGAGAAAGAGGAAGAAAGTGTCTACAAATGAAAAACTTTGTTTTGCAATGTTTCTTTTCATTTTTACTTTTTGAGATAGGGTCTCTCCATGTAGTCCAGGCTGGTCTTGAACTCACACAGATCCATCTGCCCAGGCCCCCTAAAGTGCTCGAAATGCAGGTGTATGTCACCACGCCTGCCCTGTAATGTTTCTTTGCTGTTGGCTATACAAAACGTACTTTAATTCACCTTATTTTCTAAGAACTCAGTAATTTTTCAACTTGTCATCAACAACATTTAATGGAACAATAGTTGGATGCTAATATCTTGAAAATTAAGATGAAACTATAGTCCCCAAAACTAGAGTCAAGCCCCATCTCTGTCATTTACAAATAACTTAGAGCAAAATCATTTAAATTCAATTCTTTCTTCTCTTTATAAAATGAAAGGCTTGAATGAAAAGAAATTGCATGATCTTTTAGGCCTCTTATAGCTGTGCTTATTATTTTCTAAAAGATACTTAATCTATAAAAGTTATTATTAGTTTGTGGGATGGTTTTATAATATGTGATTTTTTTGCTAAAATTTATTGACAGTCTAAAAGAATCTGGTAAGAGGAAAGAAAATAAGTGGATTGTAGCTTTAAAAGTAGTATTTTTGCTATACTATGGAGAAAATATTTGGATTTAATTTTATAATTTTAAATATAGAAATTATATAAATAGGGTATAGTTCATTTAGTAATAATGCATAAGTATATGCTAGCAAATAAATGATATATTAATGATAGCTAATGAATATTTTAAATAACCACTTAGTATTATCATAGCTAACAAAATTCATATGTGTCAAATATGATGTGATCTTCAATATGACATTCTGAGATTTATTCTAGTACTATTTTAACTTTACAGATAGAACTGTGAGGCTTAGAAATATCAAGTAACTTATCCAAGTTCACACAGATTGCATAAGGTAGAGACCAGGGCTTTTTACTTCCAAAAATTCGTTGCTATTGTACATCTTATTTTGTGATTTGGTTTTAAATTTAACATATCCTGACTTTGGCTCTCTGTTTACATATTTACTGCAATAACCTCATTTCTAATGACTATGGGGTATTCCTACATGTATGCATACATTTTAACTTATTTAAATATTTCTCTTGTTGGGCACTTAAATTGTCACCAAATGTTTATTCACATACACAAATCTTTCTAAGTGTAATATTTAAAGATTTGTATCTTTAGACATTTCATCAGAATACATTTTTAGATATTATACTTAAAGTCATAAGCTGAGTATTTTTACCATCAACTACGAGTTTCATTTAATTCTTTTAAAGGTAGTTTTCAGTTCTTCAAAGTCACCTGAAAGATTGCTAACTGAACTCTTTATTGTTTGTTAATAAACTAGTTCCTTTTATGGTTTCTAGCCTGCATGTTTAAAAGAGAAATTCAAGTAGGTGAAGGAATATTTCAGTAGTTCCAACAGATAAAAGGATAGGAGGAGAAATTTTTTGTTTTCTCCATCCTTTGTGGAAAATTACAGAAATTGACAAAGAGCCAGAAAAGAAATTTATTTCCTCCATGGGTATAGTATTGGGGCTGAACAATAGAGCATAAAAATTAAATGTTAAGCCCAAATATTTTGATACCAATAATTCTTTTTTAAAAAAATGTATTGCGCATATTTAAGGTGTACAACATGTTTTGATATACATGTAAATAATGAAATAGTAACTATTAATAGCAAATTAATGTATGCTATTCATCATATCATATAGTTATACTCTTTCCTTTTTTGATAGAAAGTCAAATTTTTATATACCTATAGAAATCTAGCTATTTGGCCACCGATTTTCTAAAAACCCTAAGAGAATAGAGTTTACTTGGGGAAGGATGTGAATTGGGACTTGACTGAAATAAGTGGTAAGAAGGAACTTCTTTGGGTGCCAGAAATATTGTATATTAGTTATGGATGCTGGTTCATCTATAAAAATTCATTTTTCTGAACACTGGAGATCTACATACTTTATGGAATGTAAGTTATACCTCCAAGCAAACAAACAATCTCAGAGAGTTGGCAACATTTGTAAGCCAGACATTTAGAGTGGACTGAATTTTCCATTTTCTCTCAAATACTCTTTTTTTAATTATCATTTAAATATTATGTATTT